TTGCCCCTCTCTCTCTCTCTCTCTCTTTATCTCTCTCTCTCCCCCCTTCTTCTCTAGCTCTTCCCCTCGTCGTGAGTCGGCCTCCTCGGGAGAAACATTAGGCATTACTTAAGGGGGTCCCACGGCTCCTCCTTATGCTATGCCCGGATACCACAACGTGGAGGAACAAGGGTACCTACTGCTCCCTCCTTCCTTCCCTTTCCGCTCCCCCCTGAGAGAGAGAGAGAGAGAGAGAGAGGGGGGAGAAGGCGCTCGCTTTGGCGGTAGAAAAAAGGACCATTTCACGCTGCGAATTGTCCACGGCTCGTTTCTGGACCCCTCTCATTTACGAGGGTAACGATTCCCTTATCGATCTCGTGCCGGAACGAGAGGATAGCCGGTTATCGGTGTCGGGTATAGGGTATACATCCGTTTCGACCATCCCTTCCTCCGAGTTTTCGTTCGATCGATGGGGATCGGGCGGAGAGGGAGAGAGAGAGAGAGAGAGAGGGGATTTTTGCGCGAGGGGATTGAGACGCGAGCGAGGAGATCCAAGTTGTTTCGGGGAAAATTGATTTGAAGCCGTGAACGAGCGTGGAATTACCGTCGATGGTTGGTGGGGGAGGGGAGGGTGGAACACGGTCGTTGATCGATGTTTGTCGAAAGTCGGATCGCTACTTTGGAACGATACGTCTTTTTTTCCTTGGGCAAGAGGAGGTTCGTCCAGGGCCACCTCGTTGCGAACCACCTCGAGTCGGTGGTATATGCGCTTCTTCTCTTTTTCTCTTTCTTCTCTTTCCGCTCCTTTTCTTGCCCCTCGTCTTTCCCTTTTTTTTTTTTCTTTCTCGTTCTTCCCTTTCTCTTCGGCCGTGTAATTAATTAAAGGTTTCGTAATCTGATCGCAAGTAACGCATTTGCGCGTGTTACGTTGTTCGAGTTAACGATCGAAAATGGAAATTCTTCGAGGATCATTTCGATTACCTTTCTATCGTGGTGGGAAATCAATTTTTGCAGAGCGAAAAAAGAGAAAAATTTGGTAAAACGCTCGTTTCGCGCGTTTAGAAATACAATTTAAAGAGTGCGGTTTAGAGAGTGGATATTTTTTGGGATGGAATGGAAGGAATCCCAAGGCGATATCTGGACGACAATTAGGGACGACGGGGTTCAAAATTTATCGTAAGTGAACAGGTTTTGCTCGGTGAACCGAGCATTATCGAGATTTTCGACCTTTTCCCAAACTTCCATTTTTCCTCGTCAAAGAGAAGAAGATAACGTCTAAAGGCTATTTATCGGACGACAAAGGAAAAACGGGAGAGAAATAATTACTTTTAAACGAGAAAAGTAACGAAAACGAAATCGAGCCTACTCTTTCTCTCTTCGAATACAAAATATCTTACTCGATATCGACTAATTGTGATCGTCGAGCATTACTCGAAGAATTAACGATCTACAATTCATCGACGGTTATCACGCTTCCCTCGACAATCTCTTTACCCAAACTTGTAATTGCATCGAACAATAACGATCCGTTTTTACTTTCCTTTTACCATTCTCTCTCTCTCTTGCAATCCCATTACAATCGCATTATAGGCAGTATCGCGTTCTAGCATCTATCTATGACGTAAAAATCCATCCACATTTACAAGGAAGGAAGGAAGGAAGGAATTTGTCGGAAAGAATTCGATCCAGCCGATCGATAAAGAGTAGAAGAACGATTTGCGAACATGGCATTCGACAATCCCCTCAGTCGTAAACGATCTACGTTTTCGAACGATCGTTGATCCCTGGTTGCTGGCCCGGTTAATGAGACGCTTTTTTCTCGATCCGCAGATCATCACGTTGCCGGAGTGAGGCACGAGCGCGGCAAAAGGCTCTGGTTTGACGTCTCCGAGGTACCACCCGGGGAACACATAATCGGTGCAGAGCTCAGGCTCTATCGCAGCATGGACGTGAAGAATCGGAGGAATCGTGGATCGTACATGATCACGGCCTACCGGGTATTGAGAACCGAAGACGGGTGAGTCTTGTTTTGCATCCCATTTTTCACGAATTCGATATTTTATAATACGGGGAAATATATAAATATGTATACAAGGAAGTATATGGTTGAAAAATATGGCGAATCGTGTTTCTTTTTTTTTTTTCTTTCTTTCTTTCTTTTCGTCGAGCAAGTTTGCAATGAAATTCCTGTCTTCCCTTAATGTAATTGTCGTGTCGGCAATTAGAAGGTTTCGGTTCCCGGAAAAGTGTATCCAGGTATCGGTCCTACCTGCACTCGACTCTGGTTGACTGGTGTTCCCAGACCGGGGAACGATAGTTTCGAGTTTGATCTTTGAACCGCTTAGCGAGGAAGAGGGAAGGTCGGTGGTGGAAAAACGGTACTCCTTCGCTCTCTCCTCTTCTTTCCTCACGAGGTTGTCAGCAGGAGAGTGGCAGGGTGGGTGGCTGGCCGGCCGGCCGGCTAGCTAGACCAATTTCGTGTTCGCCTTCGGCCAGAGTCCGTGGTTTTTGACATCGTCATCGTGCCTCTAATTAGGCCGTCCTTAAGTCGCCGAAAAAATCTCAGGTATTTGTTCTACCTGTGAGAGTTTCGAGGACCAGCCCACCCGAATCTCTCCTCCGATTCTTTATTCTTTCTCATTCATATCCAGGGCCGTCCACCGATGATTCCTTTCCAGAACTATCAACTCTTTCCATCTATATTATTTCTCCTCCTCCTCTTCCTTCCTATTTCTCCTTCCAAATTCCAAATTGAACTCAACGTTCGCCTTACGCGATACACATTTCGTATACGATCGATAAACGCGTTTAATAAATTATCGTAGTTAAAAAAGAAAATGGAGAAAAAGCAGTGGAAGCGATTATCCCTGGTTTGGAACGTGCACGCGTCCGTTTGGAAGAGGTGGAAGGGCGGCGTGGCGGATGGCGACAGCTAGTCTAGAGCCATCCCTGTGCCCGATACCTCCGTAGACTTTGGTACTGCGACCTGACCGATATACAGGCCCCCGACAGGAAACGCTATTCCGTAAATTGAGGTAAATTAGCCGTGGAGACGGGCTCCGAGCTCCGGAGAGTTAAGAGCTCCACGAGTTACTTGGCCGTGCCTACGCAGTTACACGCACGCACAGAGCCCTCTCTCCACCACCACCACCACCACCTCCTCCATCATCTTCCTCCTCCTCCTCCTCCTCCTCCTCCTTCTACTTTTCTTCTTCGCCTTCTTCCGTCAAACTCGATGCGTGACGCATCCTCCTCCACCTCTTTATCCTCCTCCACCTTCTGTGGTCCAGCCGAGACAAGCTGGCGACTCTGGTTTCTTACGTGTGCGCGCCAGCCAGGTTTCCATAAGAGCTCCCTTCCCCCTCCCCTCGTCGCGGGGGTAGGGATACCACCACGCAAGAGCGCGTCAGCTGTCTATGGAACCACGGATAAGAGGAATCCGACTCCGACGAAAGTCAGACAGTGACACTTGCCTCGTAACGAGGCTCAGGGTCTCGTGCTTTTAGACTCAATTAGGGATTCGTCAATTTTTCTCAACAGCGGCCGGTTTCTTACGAGATTTCTTCTTCTTCTTCTTCTTCTTCTTCTTTTTCTTCGTTACGCTCGGTCATCGAATCGCCCGTTTGGAAATCGTTGGATTGATACAATGGAATATATGATTTAACGTAGAAACGTTAAAATTCATTCGATGATTCGTATAAAAATTAATTTTTCGAAGTTGAATTATGGGAAGGAAGGGGAATGTAGAGAAACGAGTTTCGCCATTTAGAATAATCGATAATTAAAAGTTTCAAATAATTCTTCGAAATTTTTACGAATTGGAAGAAACTTGGTTGTTGTTATACAGTTTAACGAGAAATTGATAATATATAGGTTGGACGATCATTAGTCCAGCTGTCACGGATAATTATCGGATTTTATAAGATCGAATCGATGTACGTTTTATCTCGAATTAATAATTTCTGGATGATGAAATTGAACAATTGACGCGTTCTCGTTGCTCGTCGATTGTTTTTTTCAGGCAACTCGCATTCAACAAATTGTTAAGATTCAATTAGTTATTCGTCATAGATTAATGGTATTCAATTTGCCGCGGAAATAATGTTCTCTTCGATGTATTACGATGTAACGGCTGTGCTTTGAAATTCAAATATATACATAACACCAACAGGAAAGCTAAAAGTTGATTGATAACCGCGTGATTTCTTCATCATCGATTCTTGCGTTCCTCGATGCACAGCTGCGCGATGCTAAAAAATCTATTCGATCCTTTACTACTTTGGAATTCAACGATTCATTCCTAGCCGAGCATGCAAAACGATCTAAGCAATCGCATCTTTGTATCGGAAGAATTCGTTTCGACAAACAAACAAATTTTTCTTAACGATTTTAATAAATATATACGTATACATCGTTAAAATCATTCCTCGCAAAAATCGATAAATTTTTAAGCAACAACGAATATTACTTAACAAAAAAAAAAAAAAGAAGAATTTAATTCGATAAATAACAATAATAATAATAAATAACAATAAAAAATTGTTCGAAACGGTGTAAAAATATGGATCGTTATTAAAAAGAAAAAAAAAAAGACGAGAAAGAGGAGATGAAAAATAATAGCGCGGATGTTTGTGTTGGAAGATAATGCGCACAATCGACGGTGAAAAAAAATTTATGCAGGAACGTGGAGGATTCATCCGTATACATTTTTAGCGTTCCCAATTATTCAATTACGAGAACGATAATCAGTCCCGGGAAAAAGATAAATGCGTCGTTTAAGGAATGTGTTATAGTCCGCGGGGATCAGAGGTGAGATCCCCGTTCCCTCAATGAACAATGATTAGTGTGTTTCACTGAAATCTTATATATTGACACGAGGCACGCGCAATGGATGGATTTGCGCGAATCGTCGAGTCACGATCCGTGGAGGAATCACGGCGAGGAGCCCCGTCCCCTCGCGTATCTCGGTTTAGCATCGTTCCATCCTCGTTACGTAAGGATTCGATTTCCTATTGATCGATTTTATCGATGAGTTGCGCGCCTCGAAACCGTGCAACCGTTCCTATTAGAGAAACAATATACGCCTTTGACCGTCTAACGTCGTTTCCTGCTCTTTGCCAATTAACACTCTTCGTCCTTATCGTCGATTCCCAGATCCCGTACACTTGGCCGCAAAAGCTAATCGAGCGCTCTTTTTTCTTTTCTCTTTCTTCCAACTTTTCATCTCTCGATCGAAAGAAAGAGAAAAATAAGATTTCGAAAATTCGAGAGATCCGATAAAACTTTCCATCTCTATCGAAAGAAAAAAAAAATAAGATGTCGAAAATGCGAGAGATCCGATAAAACTTTTCATCTCTATCGAAAGAAAAAAAAAATAAGATGTCGAAAATGCGAGAGATCCGATAAAACTTTTCATCTCTATCGAAAGAAAAAAAAAATAAGATGTCGAAAATGCGAGAGATCCGATAAAACTTTTCATCTCTATCGAAAGAAAAAAAAAATAAGATGTCGAAAATGCGAGAGATCCGATAAAACTTTTCATCTCTATCGAAAGAAAAAAAAAATAAGATGTCGAAAATGCGAGAGATCCGATAAAACTTTTCATCTCTCGATCGAAAGAAAGAGAAAAATAAGATTTCGAAAATTCGAGAGATCCGATAAAACTTTCCATCTCTATCGAAAGAAAAAAAAAAATAAGATTTCGAAAATTCGAGAGATCCGATAAAACTTTTCATCTCTCGATCGAAAGAAAAAGAAAAATAAGATTTCGAAAATTCGAGAGATCCGATAAAACTTTCCAC